ACTATTCACCACAAATACAAATATTTTCACTCTACTGTATAGACAGCTGAAGACAGACGGCAAAAGTTTCATTTTTGCCGTTTGCCGTTTGACGTAACGCCATGCTTAATCTCTCTAATAACAAACAATTAAGGAACAAGGATGGTGAAGGATGGAGAAGATTAACACGGATTACAAACTACGAACCTGAAAAATTTAGGCTAAACTTTTCAAGATGCGCAGACTGATGCGTTACTCCTGTAATGGACGTCATTCTGACCAGTGCAGTTATGGAAAGCTGACGGCAAACTTCCTTACAGGAACGGACCACTTATATGGTGCTGCTTAACAGAGGTTTCACTGTGTTATTAAATTGACCTAGCTATTGCACGGTTAATACGACAAGGTCTCGTTTTGAGATTCCTCCGTAAAGACCTCCCTCTTGGTTAATAAGTAGTTAATATTACCGGAAATGAAGTTATTCTCTCTGCAGTTTAACATGTTGCTTGAATTATTGTCTACTTTGGTTCAGTATGTTAACCTGGTAACATTTTTGTCAGGTCAACGGTTTTCCAACGTTCATTTTCTAACTTAGGTGGAGAGAAGGGATGTTTAAAGCATTCGTGATGTTCATCGTATAATAATCTGTTTATGCGCCATTTCACTTTAACTTTTTAGGGATTATCAGGGCGGGATGGATTATTCGGAATACCTGGATCAGATGGAAGACCTGTATGTACAGTAACTTGCGCTAATAACCATTATTTATATTTTTTCCCTTAGTTTTTGTATTGTTTGGCGCTGAATGATTTGCACCTTTTGAATACCTATTCTAGTGGCAATTCGTGCTGTTAATTTTTCAAAAGAGCAGAGTTTCGCGGAAGTGCAATCTCAACCACCTAAGGGAACGGAAATTGGTTGGAAAAAAAATTTCTCCTAACTTTTTTTCCAAAGGAGCGAAGATTGCTTCGCATAAACGGGAGGCTCGTAAAATCAGGCTTCTATTTGATACACTTATGAAATAATGAGCAGACCAGCTATTAACACTTAATAGCATAGTTTTAATCAATAACTAAGTAGTATGTGTCTTAAGTCAAGAACCTTTGGAAATTGATTCTGCCCATGTCTGGGCAGAAAGGCAAGCTAATCTCATTTGTATTGGGATATTTAATGTTAAGGACGTTCGCGATCATTGTTACTGCGCGTCTTTTCTGCGCACGAAATTCGTGCCGCAACGTCACGTCATGCATCAAGCGCTCGCGCAAAGGAAGAAACATCAGCAAGTATAGGGATTGACACCGGGTAAACTAACTTCGCCTGCATGCAATTTACTCTCTTGGATGCTCGGTGACACCCATTTGTTTCCGTAGACAAATTTCTCCCAATTTTATCCATTTTAACAAAACACAGGAAAAGTCTGTCCGTGAGAAGTTAAAAACATTTCGCTTTTTCTGCTCGCGTGTGAGCTTTCTTCGAAAATGGACCGGCAAGGCTAATATTTGTTCTTGTTCTAGGCCTATCCTACCTCAAGGAATGACATCAGCTGCAAAAGTGTACTTAATATACTTAGTTGTGTTGAATTGAGTACGTTTACCTGATCTAAATTCCACTAATGTAGCTTTTTCTATGGCCGATAGACGTAAGCTGGCATCGTCTTAAAGTAGAGAAAAGCTCAGGCTAAAAACGCATGGTCTTCAACACACCTTATCTCGAAATGAGCACGATGACCCTCCCCCCTCCATTTTTTGGCTTTTTGCAAAAAGTTAATCTTTACGTTACTTCATGATCAGTTTGGAAAAAAATCTGTCCGTGGGAACGTTTTGGGCGCGAACGTCCTTAATTTGATTACAGACTGCGAGCAGTCGGTGGTTGTTCTTGGAATCTTCCGTGCGATCGGAAAAATTAAAATGATGCAAATGAAAATGGAACAAGGCGACTTCTTGTGTTTGCATCGCACGCTAGGAAAAAGAAAGAGACCGCTTGCAATCTTAGATGGTTAGGGTCGCGGGGTTTTTTTGCTGTTATCGGTTGTCTTCTGTTTTAGAGTGATTTTGTAATAGGAATTTGAAGCACTGAAATGTTTTCGTTTTTTTTCGTAGGGTCCCCCTGGTCCTCTTGGTTCAACTGGATCCAAAGGCGATCGAGGACCCGGTGTAAATATGAGTTTAATATTTGTAGATTGAATGTGTGAAGATGCTTTACTGTACCAGTATTTCCTTTTCGTGTTACAGCACTATTACTGAAAAAGTTTCTGTAGCTCTCCCTTGATAACACTTAGCAATACAAACAGCATTATCTGAAGGTGACTTCCGCTCAGGTTGACGAAACGTCTGCCACCAACAATAGTTGTTTTCATAACTGCACTCACCTGGACGATCACACTATACGAACTAGTTACTGATACTCCTGGGTTCAAACCATTTACTAAGCATTAACAGTCTTAAATTTAGTTATCGTGACTTTTATGTTAAAATTCTCAGTTTCTTATAGTTTTGCTGACATGTTTTCTATTTAGGGCCTACCTGGCCTTCCAGGAAGACGAGGTGCCCGTGGAAATGATGGAGAAAAGGTCTGGGTTGTTTCGTTAATTCTATTTTTTTTTTTCAATTCGATACGTACATTACGTATTACAATTGCAATCAGAGCTTTTTGTTTTGGAAACTTGCTAGTTTATCTCTTGACATACGCTGATATTATTCAACCACCGTGATTTTGAGTTCCTTTTCAATGAGACAGGTATACCTCAAAACATTGACGCGTAAGTTAGTTCAATAAAGTTTTACAGCTCTTGTACTACTTTGTTAATAGGCATGAGGGAATGTGCGAGGGAATGATCCTTAAGAGAAATCATTTTATCGGTCCCTTAGGCAGTTTAAAAATTAACCAGCATCTCATAAAGTGGTCCTCAAGTTCTAAACTGTTAGGTGTAACCATTGACAATAAGCTTACGTGGACAAAACACATATCAGAGCTCTAGAGAGGGTTCGTCAACAAGCCCAATCTGATCAAACGCGGTCGCTTTTTACCCAGGAATTCGCTTTTAAATGTATATTTTAAAGTCATTTTACCCTCGGTCACATATGCGCTGCCAATTTGGGGGTGTTGTACAAATAAAAACGAATTTAATTCTTTGGAATCCATACATTGTAGCGCCGCTAGAGTCATATATAACCTCCCGCGCGACATGCCCTCTGAGGATGAAAGAAAAACAGCTAACTGGGACTCTTTATTCGACACTTATAAGGTCAAAATAGCCACCTTAATTTATAATATCTGCAAGCGCATAACTCCATCATGCTTGGAACATATAATCCAAAGGAAAGAGTCTAAGTATGACCTCAGTCATCAACATCGTGTTAGCGTACAACGTGTTGAAACTTATTATATGAAAAACTCTATTTCTCACAGAGG